AGATTGAGCATGGACTTTCAAGCCATCATAAAAAATTTGAAGATATGCCTTACTTGTATAGTATAATATAAATCTCACCCGTTTCTATTTCATTCAAAGAGGTTACATTTTTCACATTATTAGAACAACATAAGCTTAAAAAACCTGCGATGTATTCAACCATTGTAACACATACAGAGGATCAAATACAAATATTAGTAAATACTAGAGTAAGAGTTCTCTCCTTTCTCTCTTTAAAAGCAATTTAATTTTCTCTCCAAGGAAACAGATTATGGAGCCCCAATAGCAAGTTCCCATGGGAGCATATTGTATATTCACTTTATTATGGAGATTCGCTTCATAGTGTGGGATTATCTATAAAGAGGCCATTTATTTTTTTGCGTGCTGTTGTATAGAGCCTAAGCTCTAAACAATCAAATTAGAGCCTACCTTCAAATAATGTCAAAAAATATGTCTTCAATACTGAAAATCTTTTTGATAGCCTTAAAATATATTTTCATTTTTATTTATAAAGTTTAAAGCTTCAAAAATAGTGTAAATTGAGAGATCTATGAAAACTTCAAAATCTTGAAAAATGACCGTCCAAAAATGCGTTACAAAATACTCAATTCCAAAATTTGAAATTCGTTTTTTTTCTCCTGTTCATGCATCTTGATGTTGAGATGATCAATTTGAGAACCTCGTCAAGTGAAATTTTTGAGGTAGGCTCGAATTTGATTGTTTAGAGCCTCGGCTCTATGTAAACATTTCCCTTATTTTTTATACAAAGAGGTCACAATTATTATTTTTCTTTTAGATGTCAAAATGGGTAGTTGTAAGGGTGTCATTGATTAGACACAAAATTCCAAAGAAAAATATTTTTAGACTTCGTGACTAACCCAAGCCATCCAATTTGGCATCTAATGAGTGTGAATAGTTATGACCTCCGTACACAAAGGGTAATTGGTCTCTTTATAGACAATCCCTTATAATAGTATTATGTCAATTTAAAAGTTTGGCCTTCGTAAGATTGAGTATTTTTTTCAAGAACATAAATTTTAAATTTCTAAACATTCAGAATCTAAAAGTCAAACAACCTCCATCCAATTTCGCTTGTCTCTAGGTGAATCACTAGGTCCAAGAGGTTCCATCCAATTTGGCTTGTGTCTCTAGGTTAATCACTAGGTTCAAGAGGTAACTTCCCGTAGGGTCCTAAAATTACTTCTAAAAAGAGTCATTCGAAGGGAGTGAATGAACACTATACTCTAGTAAGGACACAAAACCTTTAGACTTTTCTAAAAGGATGCCGCTTTTATAGGGCTTAGGCTTTATGAAAACAAAATAAAGCTCATCTCGACTTTTCCCCCAAAAAGCAAATTGAAATATATATGATGGCTCTATAATCAATTTATTACATTAAATATAAAATTTAAAGCTAAAAATATCAAAGACATCTTGTAGATCTATGAGCACTTATTTTTTTAAAAAAATAAACGGTCAAAATGATATGTTATAATATACAAGGCTTAAAATCTTGATTTTTTTACAATAATATTACTCAAGGCCAAAAAAATCGATTTGAATATTTTTCAAGACTTACAACTTTTAATAAGTTTTAAGGGGAGGATTTATTTATTTTGATTGGGCTCCACCCCTGTCTAAATATTTTCCTTTCTAAAAATAGTAATGTACAAAATCCGAAGGGCAAGCTTTCAATGTTTATCCTCCAGTATAGAAGTTCTACCTTCCTACTTATACAACCGACTATTTTGAATGGAGGGTTAAGATTGCTTCAATCACAATGTCACGTCTTTACACTATTTTATTTTTAATTTTTTTTTTATAAACTATTTTGACACTAATTTTTGTACGTCTAATCCTCTGTTAGACTCGTACTAGTAAAAAATATAAAAAACATATCTTTAATAAAATGAGTAAAATACCTCTTAAAGCTTTAAAAGTATTTTGATTATTATATTTTATCGAAAAAAAAAATTTAATATTTTTCATAGAAACACCTTAATGAAAAGATGGCGCTACCAAATTTTATATTCAAATAATTTATATAAAAAACCTACAAATAAAATACTTTAAGACGTCAATCTAAAATCAAACAGTATCAAAATAGGACGGCCGTATGGTAGGAGGACAGTAGGGGAAACATACAAACCTTTCCCAAATCCGAATAGCCCGCCAGGGGGGAAGAGGCCAAGACGGCTGCTTTCAAGCTATCGATTGTTTGCAATAAATTCCCAACCGATCCATCAGAGGAGGTGGGGTCCAATCCCGAGATTTTTCCTATACTTATGGGTTGTTTTCCTTGACTCAACACGTGTCCACTGACGGCTTGACTAGAATGATTTCCAAAGAAAACGTGTACGAAATCGGACGCCGCTCTCAATCGTACTACGCGCCCAAGCCCCCTATGCACCGACACTTCTGAAACAAAAGTGTAAATTACCTGAAAGGTCCGATCCATGGAAAATAACCAAACTATCCCTTAGTTTAAAAATACATATGAAAGAAAAAAAAAACCGTAAAGCATAACATTATAGAAACGGGTTGTCAAAGAGACCGTTTATCTTTGGAAAAAGTTTTCACGTAGAAGGCCCTAAACAATCAAATTAAGCCGCACTTAAAAAATTTCGCTAGAAAATTGTTTTGATGTTAAAAAATTCTCAAGCTTATCATCTTGATCACAAGATACATGGATTTCAAGTCTTGAAAATAGTGTATCTTGTAATGAATTTTTGGATCATCAACTTTTAAGGTTTTCACGTGTTTAGATATTTGTTCGATCTATAATATTTTTTAAGCTTTAAATTTTATAATTAGATATGGAAACAAATTTTCAGACTATCACCAAGATTTCCCTTGTTGAAACAACATCTTTCAACCCAACTTGAAAGTACATCTTATTTTGATTGTTTAGGGCCTCGACCTTATACAAATTACACCCTTTATCTCATTGTACATGGAAGTCACGATCATTCCTACTCACTAGATGTAAAATTGGATGACTTTTGATGAATCACCAAATTCATATTTGAGAATACTTTTTTAGAACTTTGTGTCTATTCAATGACACTCTTACAACCGCCCATTTTTAAATTTAATAGACAAGAATAATTGTGACCTTCATGAACAAAAGATAAATAATCTCTTTGGAGACAATCCTTTATAGAAAATACTTCATGTATAGAAAATCTCTATAATAGTTATAATCTATTTCTATCAATGAATTTAATATTTGTAGATCAAAAAGTGGTAGAATACTTAAAAATGGATAATCTAATTGATGTGTTATAATATGCATTATTTTTAAAGCTTAAAATCCTATTTTTCAGTAATTTTCGGAATTTTAAGGTGAGGCTTTACTAACCTTTTGGTTCGACCTCTCAGCCAAGTTTATTTAGGCTTTGCTTTTGAATTATCAACCTTTAATATTATTCTTTGCTTAACTCATAATCAATCGTGGCCATATCTCATGATTGAGATCAGGAGTTAGGTTTCATGTTTAGTACAGACATATAATTTACAAACATCCCCCCCCCCCCAGGCAAGGAAAAAGAAAAAACAATATAAATATAAATATATAACCTACAAAACACCTCCCCCCAACAAAAAGGGCCAAAAAATGTTAATGAGTTTCATGGAATCAAAAGGTAATGAAAACCAAAAAAAAAAACAATTATAGTTGTTTTTGTCCTCGATCCATGACGAACCATGCAATAAAACAATGACTTCTGGCTTTATTTTTAGGATTGTATATAATGAAACTATTTACTATTGATACAAAGAGATCATAATTATTTATGCGTGCGGTTTGTATAGAGCTTAGGCTCTAAACAATCGAATTAGAGCCTACCATCAAATAGTATCGAGAAATGTGATTTCATTATTGGAAATCTTTATGACAACCTTAAAATATGTTTTTATATTTATTTATAAAATTTAAAGCTTCAAAAATAGTGTAGATCGATAGATTTATGAAAACTTGAAAATCTTGAAAATTGACGGTTCAAAATTGCGTTACAAAGTACATTATTTCCAAAACTTTAAATCTATTTTTTTCCCATGTCCATGCATCTTGATTTTGAGATGATCAATTTGAACATATTTAAACATCAAAACAACCTCTTCTAGTGATATTTTTTAGGTAGATTCAAATTTGATTGTTTAGAACCTCGGTTCTATATAAATTTTTCCCATTATTTATAATCCTCAAATGAGACAGCTAAGGTATGTCACAATGTTCAAAAAATTTTCTTTTAAATAATGAGTTTGGTTAATGACATAAATACAACCACCCAATTTCATATCCAATGGTCAAATTAATTGTGACCATACTCACCATATACTTTTCCTTATTTTGTATTCTTCGCAATGTGAAAATGAGTTTTTTTTTTTCCTTTCAGTTTTGGAAATCTAAATAAATGTTAGTCAAATGTTAAACATTGTGCATTGAGTTCACTAAAATTAAAAATGAATGAAAATTTTAAGCCCTTGGTAATCGAATCCTAGAGATTCAAAAAGAAAAAGGAAAGGAAAGAGGCACTCTAGCTTAGCACTTTTTTATTATTTTAATATAGATTAGGCTATTAATAAATTTTTAATAAAAAGTTCAGTAAGCGGCTCTCTTCATGTAGTTTGGCCACACTGATTAACAATAATCACACACTAATTAACCTTCTAACCCAATTTAGTAAACCAGCAAAGAATCTAATTTTCTATTTATTTTTTAGGGAATTTATCGAAATACGATTTTACACCGTTCCAACTATTCCAACTCATGCGATGTGTATTTTCTTGGGTATTTTGAAATTAAACAAAAATATATATGATTAAATGTTCAACAGTGGATCTCTTATAAATATAAATATTTTGATAAATTCCTCTCATCTTTTTAAAATTTGAAATCCCTGCTCAAACAAGACAGCAACAAATGTAATTTTTGAATGAGAAAAACGACCACCTCAAAAAAGATACCAATAATCTAATGGTAATCTAATAATCACAAATGATCAAAATTGTACAACAATAAATTCACATTATTTTCTTGTACTGTAATTTTCACAGTTCAAAGCGCAGTTAATGAAACAAAAACAAAAAGGAAAGCCTGTCCAGCTCAAACTCTTTAAGTATACAACTAACACAGTACTCAGTTTTCTTTCACGGTCTTTCTGAAATTGTCATATAACAACAAAAAACCTAGGGAGAGAGAGAGAGAGAGGAGGGGTAGAAACTTAGAGAAAGAGCAGATGAAGGATTCATTGAGAGACGAAAGATCATATGAAACAAGAGAGAGAGAGAGAGAGAGAGAGAGAGAGAGAGAGAGAGTAAATAAGAGGGGGGGAAGGAAAGGAGAGAGGACATTGACGAAGAAACAGGAAAAGGGGGAGAGAAAGAGCATAGAAAACAGAAAACAGCAAAGGTGGCTGCTTAATAGTATTGAAATATGAAGTGAGCTCCAAATACGAGAGAGGGGAAGAGAGATCACAGCAAACAGAAGATGAAAGAGAGGAGAGAGAATTGACAGAGAAACAAGGAGCGAGCGAGAGAAAATAAATGAGGGAGAGAGAGAAAAAGGATATTGACAAGATCACAAACAGTAAGAGTGACAAAAAAAAGTAGTGAAGAGAGAGAGAATTGACAAAAGAAACCAGGAATGAAAGAGAAGAAATAAAAGAGAGAGCGCTGACAAAGAAAACAAGGAGTGGGTGAGAGAGAGAACAGAAAGAAGAGAGAGTATTATTAACAAAATCGAAGCAAGAGAGTTAGAGTGAGAAAGAGAGATCACCGAAGAGAGAGAGAGAGAGAGAACGAGATTAGAGGGGTCATGCCTCGAGAGAGAAGGGCGTCTGATACAAGTCATAAGGCGCCCATAGCGCATCGAGAGGGCAGGGCCGACCCGCGTCGAGCCTCGCCCATGGCTTCCCCTTCCCACTCCAATGCAGCAAACTCACCTTCCCGGGGTGCAAATCCCTGCACAAACCCCTCAAATTGTCGCCCCCCAGCCCATGCTGGTTCCACCTGTGCTCAACCCGCACAATTTTCCCCGCGAAAACTAGCAGAAATGGCGGCAGCGATCCCAGCTCGTAAATCCGCATCCTCTTCTGCAACTCCATCCACTCCTCGATCCTCTCTGTGTAACCTCCTCGCCTCCATCTCTCTAAGTCTATGACCATCACGCCCGTGTTGAAGTAGCACGCCTTCCGGCCGGCGAATGTGAGCGAGAGCGTCGGGTTTGCCCAGAAATTCATGGTGAAGTATGCGGTGAAGTTCGCGTTGCAGTACTCGGGCGCACCCAGGACCGACTCTTCGCCGAGATTAATCGAGGAGAGCAGGGTAATGTCGTCGACGACCACCAAGTCTGAGTCCAGGTACACGACTCGGGTCACGCACTCCGGTAGAATTTGAGCCAAATATGTTCGAGCGTAGTTCAGGGGGCGGTCGAGAGCGGCCCGGATGGATGTGGAGATCTTAGACTCAACCAGCGAATCGTCAAAATCGTAGACGGAGAAGCGGAGGTATGGGAACGAAGATGAGATGGACTGCCGGAGAGAGGCGGAGTCCGAGGAAGATGCAATGAAGTGGAATGCGATATTTTCAGGGCAGGAAGAGTGCAGGACTATCGATAAAATGGCAGCCATGGTGCCTCTGAGGTAGACTTTGTCGAGGGTCATGGCGATGTGGGTTATGTTGGGGTTGCAGAGCCAGTTCGCGGTGGCTGGAGAAGGGCATTCCGGCGAGTTGTAGAACTGTGGGGCTTCACGAAATTGGATGGAAAATGAGATCCCGGAGAGTGAGAGGAGGAGGAGCCACCGGAAAATGGTGTTATCAGGCGAGGTCCTCTGGGGTAGCATTGGTGGCGGGCCTCTTTGTCACCGGTGATTATAAAGAAGAGGGGGAGTGAGAATATATAAAGGCCGAAAAATTGGGTAATCTGGAAAATAAAAAATATAACAGTAATTTGAATTTTGGAAATTAAAAAAAAAAAAAAAGGAGGAATTTAAGGCCCTTTGATTTGATTTTGAATTCGTTGAGTTCACATGTTAGATTTCTGGGGGAAATTGGTTTTGGTTTTTTATATTGTTTTGTAAAATATGATCGATCCCCCATAGCTGAGATATCACATCGAGGGATGGCGTAGACAGAGACCCACGTTTTACTTAGCCAAATAAATAAATAAATAAAATAAGTATAGATACTGATATGAAAAATACTGATCGATATAATAAATGTGTGCGGTTTGTATAGAGCCTAGGCTCTAAACAATCAAATTAGAGCCTACTTTCAAATAGTATTTAAAAATGTAGTTTTCATTATTGGAAGTTTTCGTGATAGCTTTAAAATATATTTTTATATTTATTTATAAAATTTAAAGCCTCAAAGATAGTGTAGATCATAGATTTATGAAAACTTGAAAATCTTGAAAATTGACGGTCCAAAATTACCTTAAAAAATACACTATTTCCAAAACTTGAAATCCATTTTTTTCTCATGTCCATGCATCTGAATGTCGAGATGATCAATTTGAAGATATTTGGGCATCAAAACAACATCTTCTAGTGAAATTTTTGAGGTAGACTCAAAGTTGATTATTTAAAGCCTCGGCTCTATATAAACTTTTGCCATAGTAAATAGTGATAGGAAATATTTAGTAAAAGAAGTTTATATAGAGCCAAGGCTCTAAACAATCAAATTAGAACTCACCTCAAAAAGTTCATTAGAAGAGGTTGTTTTGATGCTCAAATATCCTCAAATTGATCACCTCGACATCAAGATGCATGGACACGAGTAAAAATGGATTTCAAGTTTTAGAAATAGCGCATCTTGTAATGCATTTTGGACTGATAATTTTCAAGTTTTCATAGATCTGCATTATCTACACTTTTTTTTATGCTTTAAATTTTATAATTAAAGATGAAAATATATTTTAAAGTTATCACAAAGATTTCCAGTATTGAAACCACATTTCTCGATACTATTTGAAGGTGCGCTTTACTTTGATTGTTTACAGCCTCGGCTCTATACAAACTGAACCCGCCTAATTCTAACTAATCAGACTCAAGACTATATAGCTAAAAAGTGTTATATTAAGGTGCGACTTTACAAAATATTATAAAATTATCGCCTAGAGAGAGGCCGCACCCCGCATACATTAGTTACAGGTTAATTAACTTCTATTGGGTTTGCAGTGCTTGTTTAAAGGGGAGGCGTTCGGTAGGATTCTTGGGCGTTGTTTGGTTAGGTCGTTCTCCATGTTTGTTAATAAAATAACTTGGAGTTAGGTTGGGAGTTCTCGGATAGAAGGAACTGAGGGAGAAAATGGCAAACAAAATCACTTTTTTTGGGTGAGGTTTCTGTAAGGTATGCCCTTTATACTGTAGAAATAAGACACACCTTTAAAATATACTCAGACAAATACTTCTTGTGTCAAAAACCTTATGATAAACTTTATCTCTAATTATGAAATTTAAAATCTTATGATAAATTTTATCCTTAATTATGAAATTTAAAATTTAATCGTAAATCGAACATATCTATAAATACTTGATAATCTTGAAAAGAGACCGTCCATATAACTTATTAGAAGATGTATTATTTTTAGAACTAAAAATTCTTTTTTCTTCATATGGGGATGTTCAACTAGAGGGGTATCCAAGGTGGGAACAGTTTCTGCTATATGATTTTTGAGGTGTACCTTATTTCAATAATATAAAATTGTAACCTCATATAAACGTTTAGGTTTGATTAAGCCCAAAAAAAAAAAAAATTTGGTGAGGTTTGTAATAAGGTGCACTGTAGAAATAAAACTTTTAGGAGTGACAATGCTTTCTCTCACTATCTTTCTTCCTCTTTCTCCGTGACTACTGTGCCATTTTTGTATATTGAAAGCAGATGTACCAGCTTTTTCTCAACGGACATTGCTCTCTCTCGACCGTATCTTTCTCAACAGAAATTGCTCTCAGCGAAAAAGTATCAATTAATCGGGGTTTTGAAAGTAATTGTGGCCTTCTAGTATTAAAAGTAAATGGTTTCGTTATATATAATTCTTTAAATCTCTCTCTCTTTCTTTCTATAACTATAAACATTAGTCTATCATTTTTAAGCATCTTGATGTTGAGATGATTAATTTGAGGATATTTGATCATCAAAACAACCTCTTCTAATAAAAATTTTGATGTAGGTTCTAATTTGATTGTTTAGAGCCTAGGCTCTATATATACTTTTTCCTTCTTAAAATATCGAAAATGACCTTTCATCGATTTAAACGGACACGAGTGCCCTAATTCCATAGTATTTGACACTATTGAAGACGAACAAAATCCATAGTACTCTCAATACTATTAATAAGCTAAAGATCAAAAAATATGAAGGTCATTATCTGAATCCGGCAATGTGGGCCGGGCATTGCCGTTTACAATAACCATTAATAGCTTCAAATGAAGGCAAAATATTGGGTAAAAACAATGAAAATAGAATATTAATGACATTAGAGAGTGTTTTAAAACTTGGATCGGCGGGGTAGATCGTTTCTTTTTTTGTTTTGTTTGAAGGAATGAGCCTCTCGAGTTTGGTGGATCTGCAGGATGGATCGTTCACCCACAAATCCATGTCGAATCGTTGGATCGATCGGTGGATCATCCCCCCACGTATTTGTGTCGAATCGTTGGATCGGTGAAGTGGATCACTCCTATGTATCTGTGTCAAAGTTATTGGATTGTTAATCTGGATCAGGTCTAGACCGGTCCAAATCGATAATCCAGAAAATACAAACAAATAACTAAAATAAAATAAAAATAAAAATAGAAATTTACATGGTACGAATATAGAGGGGGTCCAAAAAAATATTAGATAAATTTTTTTTTTAAAAAAAATAAATAATAATAATAATAATAATATATATAACAAGGGTCTTAAAGGGGGACCTGGTCATGATCCATAATCTCCCAAAACTAATCTAGTCCCAACTTATTCCCATCCGATCGACGATTCCAATAAAAAATTGCTAGGTTTTAAAACATTGGCTCTAAATCAGTACAGTGGGCGAACGATCTAAACCCTATGTCAGATTTCAAAAAAAAAAAAAAATGAAAAACTCGTCGTTTGGCCTATTTTGTAGCTGGCTAACCGATTTTTTGGCCTGATTAAAGGCAAAAAATCGGCGATTCTCTAGGTAGGCGATAACGTTAGTTGGACCATCGCTTTAGGGCATGTGAACCACCCCTTTATTTATTTTGAAGCTGTTAAAATACGTCTTGGTTACCTGAAAAACAAGGAACAATTGGTCGAATTTTTTTTTTTTTGAAAAATAAAAGTCACTTTAGTGTGATGTCAAAGTTAGCTATTTTTATGGTCATCTATCCCTTTCCTATTGTGACCCCTCGCTTAATTTTGGTGCGGGGTAAAATATTAGAATAACTTACTAGAAAAGCAAATAAAATAAAATAAGAAAGGAAGAAAACCCCTTGATATTCCTAAGAAATACAATAATGGACTATGTTCAATGAGCGCATATACTACGTTCTCTCATCAGCATACCTCCTCTCTTCTCAAAACACCCACTTGTGAAAAAAATATTTAGTCTAAGATTTTAAAAAACACATAATAATTACAAGATGATTATGTTTAAAAGAAAATATTTGAATTTTAAGTTTTGCGAAACTAGATTTAGCATTTCAAAACTTGGATGGTCTACGATCAATTTTGTAATACAAGTTTATATCTATTAATTACATAGAGTGTTTATTTTGGATTTTTTTTTTAATACTCAATTTGTTGTTGCAATTTGCAAATGTGGCTTTTTGGGGTTCCTAAGAAAAATTTCGTTGATGAAATTACACTGATTGTACGGGAAAGTACAAACTTCTCTTATTTTAGCTGTTTTGGAAAAAATTTGTGGAGTAAAAATAAGGAATTACATGACATTAAAAAAGAAAAAAGGAAATATGTTTACCCCCTAATGGCCGGGCGGCCTCTTGAAATGTTTAGCGAAAAGGCTATCATCAACAACAAAAGAAATCCGATCCTGAAATCTCAACCGTGGAAAAATGTGCGCATCGCAATAGAGTGAGTGATTTGTCTGGAATGCATGCATGTGCAGTACAAAAAAGGCGCGCAATCGTGCTTTAAATTCCGAGGGAAAAACTCAACTACTTTCCACTCTATGCAATTATTTCCTTAGCTCCGAACGCCGACGCCTAACAAAAACCAAAGAATTATATGCTTCAATAGTGGACTGACTGCAAGAAATAAAGATGAACCTTCTCTCTCTAGAAATAGAGAGGAACCTACCTACCTTCCTTCCTTCTCTCTCTACACTGTTCTACAGTGGACTCTCTCGCTTCTTTAGAGTGGACTTCCGTGCTCTTTTGTCTCCTTACCTCCATTTTTTCTCATTCAAAAAAGACGGTAGACATTCTTATTTTGTCTTACAACTATACACATTCGTCTCCCTTAAGGGACCATCCTAACTTTCTCTCATTATTTTGTCTTATAACAACTATACACATTATTCTCTCTTGAGAGACCATCCTAACTTTCTCTCAACACCTTGCATTCACTTCCTCTCTCTCTCTCTCTATCTCTAAAATGCTATTCTTTCTTCTTCTTCTTTTTGTCTCTCTCTTTAAAAAGCAGTACTTCCCTTGACTTTTTTTTTTATTTTTTATTTTTTTTGAGAAACAGTTCTTCCCTTTACCTTCTTTTTCGAAATACTATGGAATTCTTGTGAATGCCTTAATATTTGTTTCTACAACTGATTATGAAATACAATATCTACAAATGGTGTTGAAGGTGTGAAATTTTGAAAAATAAGCTGTCTATATAATGTGGTACAAGATATATTATTTTTAATATTACAAATCTCTTTATTA